GTGTGTGTGTGTGTGTGTGTGTGTGTGTGTGTGGTGTGTGTGTGTGTGTGTGTGTGTATAGTTTCTATATAATTAGCGATATAATAGTTATGCTAACCTTTACCATCACCCTCACCCTCACTGTAACCCTCAATGTAACCTAACCCTCACCTAACACTAACCCTCGTCCTCGCCAAAACCCTAACCCTCGCCCTCGCCATAACCCCCGCCCTTGTCCTCTCCTTCGCCCTAACCCTCACCCTCACCCTAACCCTCACCAAACCCTAACCCTCTCCCTCACCCTAACCCTAACCCTCACCCTCACCCTCATCCAAACCCTAACCCTAACCCTCACCCAACCCTAACCCTCACCCAACCCTAACCCTAACCCTAACCCTCGCCTAGCCCTAACCCTAACCATTATCTAACCCTAACCCTAACATAACCCTAACCATAACCCCTACTAAATTTTATTTTGTTTATATTATAATTTTATCAAGATGAAATTTTTTTTTATTAGGGTTTGGGTTTTTTCATATTTTTTTGTAAAATTTAAAGTCTAATTATAATTAAAAAATATAATTAAAATTTTAAAAAAATAAGAAATTTCTCTTTCTCTCTCCCCCTAAATCTCTCCTTCTCTCTGCCTCTCTCTCGGTCGGCCGACGTCGGCCACCTTTGGTCGGCTGGCACCGACAGTCAGCGCACGAGAAGAGCGCAGCAGAGAAGGGAGCCGATGTTTAAGCGCGGTAGAAGAAAGAGAGATTTGAGGGGGAGAGAGGGGCTACCTTGAGCCAGAGAGCAGAGAGAGGGCCGGGAGGGGGCGCGATGGCTGCCTGCCGCCGGCCCCTCTGACGGCCTGTCCGTTTGGCGGCGGCGGTCGTCGTAGCGGCGGCTGGCATGGCAGTGCGGGTCTTAAATGCCGACAAAGAGAAAGGGGCTGGGCGCGAGAGAGCCGACGAGAAATTGGGGGAGCGGAGAGAGGGGGGCATGAGGAGAGAGGAAGATTGAGAGAGAGTGGCAGAGCGCTGGGATTTGGGGGAATTAGACCTCAGCGGCGCGGACTATGCCCAGAATTTTTTGGACAAGTCCGCGCCCAAAATTTTTTCTTTTTTTAACTTTTTAGCGACGGAATTTTCATCGCCATAACGTGAAAATTCTGTCACTAAAATACATTTTAACGTTGGATTTTTACAGATGGATATTTTCTGTCGTGAAATTAACGGCGATAAGAATAGTCTGTCAATGTTAATAACTTTTTCGTCGGTATAGAGACTTTTGCCGACGGAATTATAGCGACGGAACGTTCCGTCGCTATAAGTCAAAGTATAGCGACAGAAATTTTCGTCGCTATACGTCTGTGGTTAATACCCATATTTCTAGTAGTGAGGGAAGGTCAAATATACACAGTCTTACCTTGTATGCGAAGAGGATATTTCCAGGATTTGAACTCATAACCTCCAGGCCACAGGGCAACAACTTTACCGTTACATCAAGACTCACCCTCACTTCTTCTTTTTTTCCCGGTAAATGTCAAGTTTGCAAACGTAAACAATTTTATGAGGGAAGAATTGGTCAAGTGTATCATTATGAAGAAAGCTTCCTGGTCACTTTAATACGACAATGTGTTAAGACATCATAATCCAAATTAAAAACTAAGCATAAAGTAGGAGAACCTTGTCCCCATGGTAAACAGTGGACAAGAAAAAAAAGAAAGGTACATCATTTTTCAGCGGGTGGAATATGTATTCACAGGATATTTATTAATTGGGACCCATCATATTTCCTTTCGCTATCATACATCCAAATAGAATCAGTAGAATAAGCTTTTGGTCACCGTCCCTTGCATGCAATGAGCCAGCTCATTTTGGAAGGGAGGGTACATTTGTCCTACTGGGAGTTTACTTAGCCAGGGACAAAAGGTCCAAGTGGAGGAGGAAGGTTTACCAATTTAACCTATAAAAGGGGAAACAGCCTAGTGAATTCTATAGATAAAAATACTCTCGTCTGGACGTCCCAGCCACTACTGCTGATGTCCCCATCATCTAGAATAATCTGAGAACCCCATTCAATCTTGCTCACATCGAGTACTCCCGAGGGCTCCATGCATCCATCCAGGAATTGCTGATGTATTTAAATAGGACCAAAACTGAATGCAGTAGAAAATCATTTTTATTTTTACTTCTTATTAATTAGTTGCAAATATGAACAAACTCTAGCCAAATATGAGAAATAACAAGAAATCGTGTACAACGGGAAAGTGACGTCCCCAGTCACCGACACACGCAGTCCACTCCAATCAACAAACGATTGTTGCATGCGCTATGTCTGATTCCCTCAGTGAAAGAATCCATCGAATATCTATCCGAAAACCCAGGGGGATTCACGTCTAATTAACTTAATTTTGCCAGATTGAACAAGGTGATCGAAGGACCAACTGAGATGCCTATCCTGATTATAACCCAAACTGGAGAGTTCAATCAGAGAGTCAACATTCGAGAGATTTCGAATTCATGCACAAAGTCTTTGTCCCCCGAGGCTCTGGCTTAGATAATAAGCTCGGTTATATATGACTGATCAGATTCTCGTCTACTACTCGCTCTCATGCAAAACATTTTCAATAAAAATCTAACGTACAGGAAATCAGATGAAGCTGATGCCAATTAAATATTGGAACATCTGGTTTGTTGAAGGGTGAAATTTGTTTCAATTAAGAATATATAATAATCAATCTCTTTCGAGTGCACTTCATCGCTCCACTTTGCTAGTGAGGCCAAGCAGAGGTTACTGTCCTTTGAAGTGCTTGTCCACCGTTTAAACAAAGCTTGGAACCTCAAATTCCTTAGAGGTCATTGATGACGTTTGTATATAAACCCCAAGTGTCTATATATATACTATAATAAACGAAAGGCCTTTCGTGCATGTTGCTTTACTTACAAAAACTTACTTATCTTAGTCATTAATTATGATCGATAAGCACAACCAATAAGTTTCATCTACTAGAAAAACCAGGGTATTTGATTAGTAATTTCTTTTCCTCCGTTTACTTTCGAAATGAAGTCCCTGAACTACGTAATCCACGCTGACGTATCTTTCCCTTAGAATATATTTACTTTTCCTAATCTTCCCTTGTTTGTTCTTGTGTAGTATTAGAATTCCTTCTTAATATTGAAATCTTAGAGCGAGCTCACCAAAAAATTTAGTGTACGTCCCTGTCACACTCTGCCACATGCCTATATCCAAGTATAAATGGGTTACAATTATATGACGTCTTTTACACGTCGTACTGAAATGTATGCAGCTAAATATTGTCATATGGTTACACTTGTGTGCGGTACATTGGAAATAAAATTGTTAAAAGACCAACAGGTTTCAATATATAAAACGAAAGGTCCAAAGGTAAAAGATATATGAATGATAAATGCAAAGAAAGAATTTGCTTTTCCATAACTATTAAGTATAAAATGTAGTAGTAGCATTTGTATAGTTAAGTAGACAAATTAATTAACCACGTACGTACTCTACCATTTTTAAGTGCGTTTACTTTATGGCCTGGGGGCATCTAGCTCAAAGGTGCTGGGAGCGTGAATTAGTTTAACAAATCTTAGTGGTAACCACTATTACATTGATTAAATCACCCAAACTACAGACATTTTTCTAGAGGACCACCCTGCTCACTTTAGCAATTAACTACTATTAAGAGAGCATCACAGGTAAATTAAGAATGAATAGAAGTGTGACGATACCTAAGCATGTGTCTGTGGTAAAGAGTGAAACCTATCCCTACATCATTTCTCGCTAGAAAGAAGAAACTGTAACTTTTGCTTTCCAAAAGGAGTATTACGTGCAATGGTTATTTTTTATTTTTATTTTTCCTTTTTTATTTTATTTTTTTATTTATTTGTTTTTGTATCTGGTAAGAAACTTGGGACTCCTATTACGTACGCCCACCACCTACACATGTGGTCCCTTAATTAACCTAAGCCTCTGTGAACGAGAATCTTCTGAAGGAAAACGGTGGGTGAATCGTCTTGTTTCATTAAAGAGGAGACGATAAAACAAACAAAGGGGCAGTACACCATCGATCCTACGCCTCGTCGAGAGCCTAACATGCATCAGGAGTCACAAAGACAAAGTATACACACACAAGCCTATACGGGTAAAAGCAACTAAAAGTAAGTAAGTCCACGCACTCTCAAATCAAAGGCCGAGGACGCAACATAGAGGAATAATTGAACGTGTAACCGGCCTCCGGGTGGCTACAAGGTCAGATCCCCTTTCGCCTGAGCTCCGCCCTCCCTCCTACAATCGACCTGCTCACGATACGGCCATTATTGTTACTGCCGATGGTTCTCTCTTTCGGAGAGAGGATCAACGTCATAATACATAACCCAACAAGGTTTAGCTAGTGCATACACAAGAGACGCATGCTCCGTAAAAAAAAAATTCTCAAACATATCTATGTAAATTTTATCAAGCTGGAGAACAAGGGTGGGGCATGAAGATTTTTGTCGTGGAATGATCAGCCTCTTAAGTTAACCAAGACAACTTGTTTTAAACTACCATCTTATTGGTTCATATATAGGTGTCCTCTAAAGATAGGCTTGTTTAGATAAATCATGTTAGCCTGAACAAGACTGATTGCGGCGAGATGTATATGGACGATGATGACCAACAATATTGCTTAATTAATATATATAACGCTAGTTTAGCCGGTACATATTCTAGAAGCCATTCTTCATGAGAGAGATCATTTCAGTCTAATGATATCACTATTTTATAGGGTGTAGGTATAAAAGTGAGCGCTAGCGTTCTCACATAACTCGGATCTAGAACGGTACAGGTATCCCAGGTCATTGGATGAACTCGCGGTCAAAATAGTTTCCAGTAAAAACTAGCAGAAGGGCAAAAGAGGAAAACAAAAGAATCACAAGAAGTTGATATATATGTATACAAGAGAAAAGAACAAGCTAGGAGAGGAAACGAGGTTTGTCTCAGTATCTCTCACGGGGTTCCCTTCACCTCCGGGTGTCCTCACCCACCTTGTCTTGGACGATCGTGGGGTAAATAGTCCCCCATCTCCACTCCCCACATGGATGCATTCCCCTCCCAACAGCTCCTCAGGAGATTCCAAAGTCCCTTCCCCCCCACCACCAACTTTTCTTGATATTTTAATAATTTTCCTGCCTCCTTTTTCCACCATTTGTTCTATAAATTCCACCCTCCTCCCACTCTCCAATTCCCTTTTCCCCTCTCCTCTTCTCCTCCATCCATCAGTTTGCGAAAGCACTTTTGTTCTGCTCCTCCCCTGCCTTGTTCCTCTCTCCTCTCCTTGCTATTTTGTTCACCCTGCTTCATCTGAATTCAAACCTTTAACCCAACAGGCATATACTTTGTTCTTGCTCATCCTCCACTTGGGTAACTAGATCAGATTCTCTAGGCCAGTATTTATAACTAGGAACCCACAATCCCTGCATCCTCTCCTCCCCCTCCATCATCCCTCGAAACTGGCCTCTTTATAGCGGCCAAAGAGCAAAGACCCCTCTTAACCAATTAATCTGGATCAAGCTTAGATTTGTAGATGCAGCACCTCTTCATACTGGGTTTTCTAATTAATGTCGCCTATCCCAAGTGAAATCCTGCTCTTTGGGTTTATGTTAAATTCCACTCTTCAGTGCCAGAGTCACCTAGTTCAATCCTTCTCTGTCGTGTTCCTTTACTGGTTCTATGTTTTTTCGCGGTCTGAACTCTGATCATCTGGGCCCTGTTCATTTCTTCATATACACCATTTCCTAGCTTTACATAGTATAGCGTTCTCGGTGATTTTAGCAAATCGAGCACCCAAAGCACGCTAGATAAAAGAAATAATCGAAACATGTCAAGCGGTACTTCTTCTGGATCAAGCTTGGTCCAGAACTCGGGGTCCGAGGAGGAACTCAAGGCCTTAATGGATCAAAGGAAGAGGAAGAGAATGCAATCCAACCGCGAGTCAGCCAGAAGGTCAAGGATGAGGAAACAGAAGCACTTGGATGATCTGATGGCCCAGGTGAACCAACTGAGGAAGGAAAACGGTCAAATTCTCACTGCCCTCAACATAACCACTCAGCAGTACATTGGGGTCGAAGCGGAGAACTCTGTTCTCAGGACTCAGATGGCGGAGCTCAACACAAGGCTGGAGTCCCTGAACGAAATCCTTCGCTGCATGAATGCGAACAATATTAGCGGTAACGGGCTCTTCAGTGATGGACCCCACTTCAACGATAGCTTCATCAACTCATGGAATCCTCCCCTCATGAACCAGCCTATCATGGCCTCCATGGATATGTTTCAGTACTGTTAGAATGTCAAGGCCTCAAGGGTGCTCTTGTCTTCATTTTTATGTTCACTTTTTCTTTATTTTGTTTGTTTTGTGAGTTTTAGACGTCTATTAGAACTTTTCTCTTGGCTTAGAGAGTGATGTTCTAGCGTAGAGTGGTCCGGAAATGGGTTCCTGTCTGTCTATGGTCCTATTATATACATATGCATTCAGACCCTTTTTAAGTGTAATTGGACATTATATGCATGTATTGGTATTGTAATCATGATATATATAACTTTTATCGTTCATGATGGTTGTTCCTTTTATTACAGTAAAAAAACCCATCCACTGCACCAAAACTCCTAGGTTGCAGTTAAGGCTGAGGTTTATAATTTAAATTTCAACATATCCCTGGAGATTGAACGTCCTTTTTAAGGGTCAGAACCTGAGCTCATATCCACTTTTCAAAAATCCTTTTCAAATTCTTGTCTGGTAGGATTCGAACCCGGTTGCTCTTATACCGCGTTAAAGAATCCTTTGACTGCACCAAACTTCCGAAACTATGCCGAAGGTTGGAGGCTAGTTTTTATACTAACAATTACTGTTACAATTAACGTTATTGTTATTTGTTTTTTTGTTAGTTGCAGTTATATAAGAGATGGTTTTCTTGGTGGTATAGGAGGTTGACATGCATAAAAAAGAGGAGGATTCTCAATATTTTGAAGGATTAAAATGATGCTGACTGCTGAGAAACCATTGATCAATAAGGCTTAAATGTTAGGTATAAATGCTTTCTCATGCCAAGATGAGAGAAAAAAGACAAGAAATTCAGTATTTTAGTTGGTGACTCGTGGGAGGAATAATAGAAAATTCCAGCCTCATATTGCACTCCTCTGATTATTTAATTACAACTTGTTTCGTTGTCGTTGATGCATTGCTTCCTTTTTCATTTTCTCCTTTTCGGATGTATACGGTTGGCCAGTTGAGCAGGCACTTGTTCTAATGAACACTTTATGTTGGGTTGAGATGGTTAATCTTTTCATTTTTCTCCTCCTACTTTCATAGGCAATGTTACAGTGGAAATGTCAGAGAAAAAACACATAAGTGAGATCAGCCACAAGGTTCTGCAGTAGGAAACCATGTTGCCGAATGGAAAAGAAAAATTACGGAAAAGGAAAATGCAAAGACAGAAAGAAACTATCAGGTAATATATACAACATGCATTTTATATAGTAATATCTTTTTTTTGTGAAAAGAAATAATAATGATGTAAAAATATATCTCTGTACCATATACAACTCAAATATCAAAATGATAACAAAAACGTAACAGCACCGGTATTGGATATTTAAGCAATAAGTCTCAATCCGTCGAATTTTATATATCCATTGATCGAACTGTTTACCGAAAAACTTAACATAGCTTTAAGATTCCTCAACAGGTTAATATCATCCCACAATTTTTTTTAGTGAGAGAGAGAGAGGGAGAGAGAGGAGGGGGGGGGGGGGGGGGGTTTTTTTG